TTTGTGTGTGTGTTTCATTGTACTTTTTAATTATTATTATTTAATATTTAATTTGATTTTTGGTGAAACTATGCAGAGCAAAATCCACTCCCACTCTCCAGGTTCTAGACGTAACGTACATATAGGTGGTCGTCTTTCATTATTATGCATTAATGTACTGAGCAGGCAAAAAAAATTAATAAGTAAATAAAATAATAATTGGCAACCCTATTAATTCCCAAAATATTTTTAGAAATTTTACTGGTCCGTGACAGTCAACATAGTCTTGCAATTACTGCTCTAAAGGATGTGTGTTTCGCATTGTGCTGATATCTGAGTACCTGTGAACATCATTTGTATCTAGAGATTCAGTAATTAGTCGTTCACCAAACAGACATTGACTCCCTTCTGGATGCCAGACTCTGTACAGTCTGCTTTGCATACCTCGTCTCATCTTTATAACTACTCCTGTGAGCTGTGTATTATTCTCTCCGTCTACAGGCGAGAAAATGGACGGTCAGAGGGGGATGTAATCCACCCAAGGTTATGCAGCTGTGCATGGAGCATAGCTGCCGTTAGAACTGAGGTCTCCCTGAGTACAGAGGCCTTGCGTGCCCTTTATTCTATCCAGGGGTCCACAGCCCGTGTGCTTGGGACCTGTGGAACTTTAGCTTAGGATTCGTAAGTCCACAAACTTACATGTCTCTTTTCAGTCAAGATATACTGGAGGCAAAATTATCATGTAGAGGGTCTTCTTTTTTTCCTTCTTTTTAAAACAGTGGTCTTGTGGTAGAAAAAGTTGAAAACATTTGTCCATCCTGCAGACAACAATTATTTGGACAATTGGCGACTCCAAGGTTAGGAATGAAACTACTACCTTAGCTGAGTCTGATTCTTCAGCCTTTGGTTCAGGCTGCTTTCCAGGGAAAGAAAATTTGCTGCTGTGTGAAATTAGTGGTTACCCAAGAAATGCTTCAGGAGCTCCTGATGGGCACAGACAATAAGACAGTGTTTAAAGACTTACTACTAATGAGGTGTTCAAGGAGAGAAATTTCTGCCACATAGCTGTGAGGTTCTGTACCAGTGCGGGGTTTCTTGGATCACAATCATCTGTGATGCTTTTTAAAAATACATAATCCTGGGCCCCACCCTACATCTGCTAATGAGGCTCTTCGGCCAAGGGACTCACGTATCTTTGCCTTTGAAAAGCTGTCCAGGTGATTCTGAGGTCCAGCCTACCTCCAGCCTGGCTATTACCAGAAAACTGGATGCCTTGCGAGCTGCGGGATAAAGTAAAGCGCCCTTAGGTTGAGGACACTTCTCTGAGGCACTTTCTAAAGTTGCCGTTTAAACTTCTGATCCCAGGTCCTGGGGGTGATAAATGAAACAAGGCTTGGAGTCAGCGGGGCTGCCCAGGTCATTTTTAATCCCTTCTCTTCCCTGATTGCTCACTGAAGTTAAGAGCTTTCTCATCAGAAGCCCATTTCTGTAAACTACTTGATGACATAGAATTCCTCGTTCTGAACGATAATGAGAGTTTTATGGTACTTTCATCATTCACTCACGGGCAGTGTTTCGTTCAGGGTCGCTGTGAGTCGGAATCGACTGACGGCGCATGACAACAACAATCATCTGCTGACTGATTGCGTATCTCTCTGGAGTCCTGTACGTGTTCTTGGAGCCCTGGGAACACGAGTTAAGAGTTCGGCTGCTAACCAAAAGGTCAGCAGTTTGAATCTACCAGCTGCCCTTGGACACCCTACGGGAAAGTTCTGCTCTGTTCTGTAGGATCTCTATCTCGACGGCAAGAGATTTTTTTTTTTTTTCTTTTTAATGCGTATTGTACCCGTGGCATAAGGGAAGGACTGTTGGGAGATGCTCCGAGGCCTACCCCAAGCTCCTCACTGTGGCCTCTAAGGCCCTGTGTGATCTGGTTTCTGTCCGCGCTGCAGCCTCTGCTCACACCACCCTCTTCCTCACTGGCTGTGTTTCAGACACCCCAGTCTATTTGAGTTCCTTGAATTTGCCAACCTCATGCTTCTCATGCTCCTGTATTGGGCTCATAAGCTCTTTTTTTTTCTTTTTAACATACATGACAGCTTTTACTTTTATGTAAAAATACTTAGAAAACAGTATCTGGTACAGACTGGATGCTCCATGTGTGATCTCTTTTGATTTTGTTTTTAACATTTTTATTGTGCTTTAGGTGAAAGTTTACACAGCAAGTTAGCTTCCCGTTCAATAATTGATGTACAAATTTTTCTGTGATGGTGGTTGCAGTCCCCACAATGCGTCAGCACTCTCCCCATTGCCTCTCTGGGTTCCATGTTTCCATTCATCCGATTTCCCTGCCCCTTCTGTCATATAGGAGCCGTGGTGGTACAGTGGTTAAGGCGCTCGGCTGCTAACCGAAAGGTCAGCCGTTCAAACCCCCCAGTCGCTCCTGGGGAGAAAGATGTGGCAGTCTGCTTCCGTAAAGATTCCGGCCTTGGAAGCCCTGTAGGGTCACTGTGAATCGGAATCGCCAGTACAGCAGCGGGGTTAGTTTGTTCTTCTCCGTGTCGAATGCTTTTGGTGGGCTCCCTCTAATTACTCAGGTCTCTGCTCAGATGTTGGTTCTTCAGAGACATACCTCCCCGTCAGTCTCTCGTAATATCTATTTTATTTTCGTCATAGCATTTATCACTATCTGAAATGATTTCACTTGTTTATTGCTTGTCTTCGTCCACTCAAACGTCAGCTAATTGAGAGGCGGCACCTCGTCTGTCCTGTTTCCCGTTGACTCCCCAGCATGGGGAACGTGCCAGGCTCCCGACAGGTGCACACTGAGCTCTGGAGGAATGCTTTGGGTTCTCCACCCTCAGCCACCATCCCCCGGGGGCAGGGCTGAGCTGAGGGTGTGTAGACACCCCTAGTAGCTTAGGACTCCGGCAGTTTTCTGGAGCAAAGCTAAATACCCCCGGCCTGGGGAGGATTTTTCTGAGTCTGCCATGCTGCAGTGCTCCCACGGCTTCTTCCTCATCTTTGCGCTGTGGGTTAGAGGGACAGCAGTCATTCAGAAGTATGCGTCCATAAGGCTCAGTTAGAGGGCAAACGATCCCTTTCGATTAGAGCTAATTTCATAGTCTCTTAAATAGTGAGGTTTTTGTCTTCTGGGCAAGAACTGTATCCTGAGATCCCATCAGTAAATGACATCTTGAATTTGGAACAACTGAGCCCTATTTGTCCCTACCCTTGCTATAGAAATACTGTAGTCTGGATACAGACTTGTGGTCTGATCTTCTGACTCCCAGAGGCATAGGGGGCCCTGCCTGGACAGGGTGACACTGTGTGTTTTATAAGGCTCCTTCTGCAAGTGTCAGGACCCTCCCTGAAGTAGGGAGGTCTTCCTGGTGGACTCCTTTGAGAATCTGATGACCCTGACAGACCTCCTCAGAAAAATGGACAAGCAGCTGTGCACATGACTTTGCATGTAATTTAGGGGCGTGCAGGACCTGCTGAAAAGTACAAGCAGCTGTGCACATGATTTTGCATAGAATTTAGGGGTGTGCAGGACCTGCTGAATGCCCTCTGTGGGCCCTGAAGTCCTGTTGGGGATCTAGGTTGGTTTGTTCACCCATCACAGCTGGGTCGTAGCTCTTCCACAGTTGTTCTTTCTGACTTGGTCTCCTGTGCCCTCTTGTTTTTCTAACAACCTGCTGGACCCCTCAGGCCCAGAAGAGGCGCTACTCTCCTGGAGTCCAGGTACTCAGTTCTTGACCTGTCACGGCCATCTCTCATCCCCATGTGTGTTCACCCAACATTGGCTGCTGTTTGGAGTCCACGTGGCTGTTGTCTTCGAGTCACCAGTCTCTGATCTCACCTTCATCTCCACTTGCATGTTGACTGTCTAGGACAGCGGGGAGCTCACCTGAGAAGTAGCATGCCTCACGTTACCCTCTCCTTCCATCACCTGCCTGTCTGCACTGCCTTAGCACTGGGCTTGTTCTGGAACCGTTAGCTCATCATTTCCGAGGGAGAGTTTGCTTCTACAACTCTCCTGGAGAGAGAAGCTCTGAATTAGGTGGGAAAATGGGTGGGCCATGGGGAGACTCTCATTTTCTTCCTTGTGGTGGGAGAACCTTGCCCTGACGAGTTATGTGTGGATGGAATCACAGGTGGTGCAAACACTTAACACACCCAGCTGCTAACCAAAAGGTTGCAGGTTCAAGTCCACGCAAAGGTGCGTCAGAAAAAAGGCCTGGTGATCAGCTACCGAAACACCAGGCATTGAAAACCCTGAGGAGCACAGTTCTACTCTGACACACGCAGGGTCGCCACGAGTCACAGGCGACTCAGTGGCATCTGGCTTTGTGTGTGGATGAGGTTCAAATGGACTGAAAGGCTTTGGACTAAGAACAGTCATCGGGGCTGGCTGACACCGTCCAGGAGCTGGTTCTGGCAGTGCTCTTTCTGAGTCCCGATCCGTTTAGCATCCTGTTGCTCATAGCGTTTTGGAATTTGCCAGTGACTGTTCTGAATAGAGATTCAGACAGGTGTTTCAGAATACCTGCTGTGTGCAAAGCACCGACCCTGGCCGAAGGGGATGGGACTGGCATGGAGACATCAGACAAGCTTAATAAATGATGTTTTTCTTTAAGAAGCTTACCTGGTAGGTGAGGAGATAGGTATATATACATAAAAAGAAACCCACCAGCCTTGGGCAGTACATCAGCGCCACGTGGTGATCTCTGAGAAGGACTCAGGTCAGACTCCAGAGTCTTAGCGGTGCCATTGCAGGCCCACGCGATTGGGAGCGAGGAACGTTCCTGAAGGCAGGTGCAGAGTTCAGTCCTTTCTGGGCCCGGATCCCTGAGTGGTCATCTGAATGTGGGGCCTCAGGACTGCCAACAATAAGCAGAGTGGTCGTCTGGTTTGCTGTAAGGGGCTCAGCTTGTCTGTGCAGAATTCCTGCTGCTGTTTGCACAGGTGTCCTGAGAGCACCTCTTTACTGTCCTCTGCTGTCCCTCCTGCTTCCCCAGCGGGTGTTCCCCTATATCTCAGCCATGGTGAACAACGGCTCCCTCAGCTATGATCACGAGCGGGACGGGAGACCTACGGAGTTGGGGGGCTGTACAGCCATTGTCCGCAACCTCCATTACGACACCTTCCTTGTGATTCGCTATGTCAAGAGGCATTTGACGGTGAGTCCTCGTCCTGGGCCAGTTGGGGTAGGCTTTCTCGCACCTGCTCCTGTGGCCTGACCGTGATTATCTCTCCTTTTTATTCTAGATAATGATGGACATCGACGGCAAGCATGAGTGGAGGGATTGCATCGAGGTGCCTGGGGTCCGTCTACCCCGGGGCTACTACTTCGGCACCTCCTCCATCACTGGGGATCTCTCGGGTACGGCCTCGTGCGTTCTTTATTTCCCTTGACTGCGGTCATGTCTCAATACCCAGGCCTTGTGAGGCTTCTTAGAGGGAGGAGACAGACAGATATCGGGGACGCGGATGCCCTGAGAATGCTTATTTTCCTCATTCTTGTGTCCAGGTCTCTTAAAAACCTCAGGCCCAGGTTTTCCCAGTACACTTGTCTCCAGGAGCTGGCCGGTGCTAACAGGAAGTAGCGTTGGCCCCTTCGTCAAGCCGGCCTTCCAGCCTCTTTGGGTTCCTTGCTTTCCTATTTCTGGTGCCCTTACTACAGTCAGGGCCTCCTTCCACCTGCTGACGTGCGCAGCCCCCCTCCTTTTCCCAGACCTTTTCCTTGGCTCTGCCGTCCCTCCTCTTCTGACCCCCAGATGTTCCTTTTATTGTGCTTTAAGTGAAAGTTTACAATTCAAGTTAGTCTCTCATACAGAAGTTTATACATACATTGTTATGTGGCCCTAGTTGCTCTCCCTATACTGTGACAGCACACTCCTCCTTTCCACCCTGGATTTCCCGTGTCTATTCAGCCAGCTCCTGACCCTCTCTGCCTTCTCATCTCACCTCCGGACAGAAGCTGCCCATTTAGTCTCATGTGTCTACTTGAGCTAAGAAGCACATTCTTCATGAGTATTATTTCATGTCCCGTAGTCCAGTCTAATCTTTGTCTGAAGAGTTGGCCTCGGGAATGGTTTTAGTTTTGGGCTAACAGTCCAGGTGCCATGTCTTCTGGGGTCCTTCCAGTCTCCGTCAAACCATTAAGTCTGGTCTTTTTACTAGGATTTGAGTTCTGCACCCCACTTTTCACCTGCTGTGTCAGGGACACTCTGTTTTGTTCCCTGTCAGGGTGGTCATTGGTGGTAGCCAGACACCATCTAGTTCTTCTGGTCTCAGGCTGATGGAGTCTCTGGTTTAGGTGGCCCTTTCTGTCTCTTGGGCTAATATTTTCCTTGTGTCTTTGGTGTTCTTCTTTCTCCTTTGCTCCAGGTGGGTTGGGACCAATTGATGCATCTTAGATGGCCACTCACTAGCTTTTAAGACCCCAGACGCCACTCACGCAAGTGGGATGCAGAACATTTTCTTAATAAACTTTGTTATGCCAGTTGACCTAGTTGTCCCCTGAAACCATGGTCCTCAGACCCCCGCCCCTGCTACTCTGTCCCTCAAAGTGTTTGGTTGTATTCAGGAAACTTCTTAGCTTTGGTTTAGTCCAGTTGTGCTGACTTCCCCTGTAGTGTGTGTTGTCCTTCCCTTCACCTAAGATAATTCTCGTCTACTATCTAGTTAGTGAATACCCCTCTCCCTCCCTCCCCACCCTCGTAACCATCAAAGAATGTTTTCTTCTGTGTTTAAACCTTTTCTTGAGTTCTTATAATAGTGGTCTTATACAGTATTTGTCCTTTTGTGACTGACTAAATTCACTCAGCAAAATGCCTTCCCGATTCCTCCATGTTACAGGATGTTTCACAGATTCATCATTGTTCTTTATCGTTGCATAGTATTCCACTGTGTGGATATACCATAATTTGTTTATCCATTTGTCGGTTGATGGGCACCTAGGTTATTTCCATCTTTTTGCTATTGTGAACGGTGCTGCAGTGAACATGGGTGTGCATATATCTATTCGTGTGACGGCTCTTATTTTTCTAGGATATATTCCAAGGAGCGGGATTGCTGAACGTATGGTACTTCTGTTTCTAGCTTTTTAAGGAAGTGCCAAATCCATTTTTAAAGTGGTTGTACCATTTTACATTCCCACCAGCAGTGTTTGCTGAGACTTTTAAATGTGTGGCGTGTACAGATGCTTCTGTTCCCTAGCCATCACCTCCTTACCACACCGCACTCTGATCTGTACCTGTTAACACTGTTAATAGCTGCACCCGTGATATTAACACTGTAGGGGCCTTGGTGGCACTGTGGTTAAGAGTTTGGCTGCTAACCAGTACGTTGGCCATTCAGATCCACCAGCTGCTCCTAGGAAACGCTATGGGGCAGTTCTCCTCTGTCCTGTAGGGGCGCTGTGAGTCGGAGTCAGCTTGATGACAATGGGTTATTAACGCTGTTCTCACAAAAGTTCCTTCCATGGCCTTGCCGTCTACAGCTGTCGGGCGTTACTCTGTCCTCTCTGCCCCTCGGTTGTTCGGTAGCTCAGGCTCTTCCCGTCCTTGACTTGTGTGGCGTTCAGAACACCTGGTTCTTTCACTTCCTGTCTCCTAGTTTCTCCTCCTCTTTCCAGATTTGTAGCTTCTTGCTATGTGCTCACTCATTCCCTTGGCCTTTGGGAAGAGGTAAGGAACAAAACTTTAGGTTCTCTTGGTTAATATCATTGATCATGGATAAAACTCATTTGAAATAGAACTTTCTTGTGGCAGAAAGGAAAGGCAGATACCCAGCTGAAAGAGGGCAGGAGCTATTCAGCTCTAACCATTCTTGCCAAGAGGAAATGTGGACTCAGTGAACCCAAATCTTGGGATTTTTCAAGAGAAGCTAGAAATCTGGAGTTTTAAAATAAAATCTGATTTTTAAAAACCAGGTAGCTAATTTTTTTTAAAAAGCAACTCTATGAAGGTATACTTTACATATAATAGAAGTGTACCGTATAAAGTTTTGATAAATATTTAAATCTATGTAATTACCACTGTAATCAAGATAAAGAATGTTAATTTTTGAATGAGAAACTAATTTGCGCTGTAAACTTTCACTTAAAGCACAATAAAATTAAAATAATAAAAAGAAAATAAATTGATTCTATTGGTAAGTCAGAGCCATGTTTTATTAATTTTAATCTGTTAAATAAAGTACTTAGAATGGGGGGAAAAATGTCTCCACTCCCTGAAGTTCCATTATGCCCCTTTGCAGTAATCCCTCCCCTCCCCTGGCTCCAGGCAACCATTGGTCTGCTTTCTGTCACTGTAGAGATTAATTTTGGCGCTAGGTTCTAAACAGAGCCCTGGCGGCACAGTGGTAGAAAGCTCGGCTGCTAACCAAAAGGTCAGCAGTTCGAATCCACCACCTGCTCCTTGGAAACCCTATGGGGCAGTTCTGCTCTGTCCTGTAGGGTTGCTATGAGTCGGAATCGACTTGATGGCAAGGGTTTGGTTTTTTTGGTTTCGGTTCTACTGTGCAGGCCATACCTGTGGAACAGATCTAGCCTCGGTGTGGGGATGGGAGGCACGGCTTTCAGCTCTTTGCTGTGTAATCTTGTTACGTAACTAAAGCTGAAAGAGGCCTTCTTGTATACACGTGTTCCTTTGGGCTTGCAGCTTTCTAGGGCCTGCTTGTTAACCTTCTAATGTAGCGATCAGTGGAAGGCTGCTCCTAACTGCTAGAAGTGGCGAAAAAGAATAATTTTTTGTTCGTTTATCCCAAGAAGTCTTTTGTCTTAGGTTTTGAGTGCTAACACCTATGTTACCAGGTCTGTGTTCTTGGCTCGTACCAAAACCAACCAAACGCACTGCCATCTAGTCGATTCCGACTCATAGTGACCCTAAAGGACAGAGTAGAACTGTCCCATAGCATTTCCAAAGAGCAGTTGGTGGATTCGAACTGCCGACCTTTTGGTGAGCGGCCGAGCTCTTGACCACTGCGCCACCAGGGCTCCTCTCTTGCTGAAAACAGCTCCCTGAACACAAACGGTCTCTCTTCTGAGCGCTTCCTTGTTGGCACCTTCTCTCATGTTATGCAGCAGGGTATTGAAAATTGCTGTGAAGGCTAGGGCTTGTCCCAACGTCCCAACCTTGGATGTCCCTACAACGTGAGGAACCCTTCCCTGGTTTTCTTTCCCGTCCCATGATTTAAACTCAGCCCTGACAGCTAAAATATTCTCCTAATTGAAGGTGAATCCAGTTTCTCCTTGTCTGGGCATCTGCTGAAGGTTCCAGCAGCCCAAGCAGCTGTGGAGGCCATCCTAGTAATAGAAACGACAAGAAATCCAGTCCCCAGTAACCAACCTAGTAGCAATGAGCACCCTTAGCACCCAGATTGGTGGTGTCTAATTACCAGTTCCCACTAAAAGGAACTACAGCTTCTTGGAAAAATGGCTCACGCCAGGTCTGAAGCAGGAAGTATACAAGATGAGCCTGGAACTTCCCAGAAAAGCAAGGAAGATCTAAAACACGTCTAGGTTCATGGCAGAATGACTCACAGAACACTTCAGCAGGCTTCCCCTCCACTGGTCCAAAGATGGATCATGTTGAGCATCAATCAGATAACCTCACTATTGAAACACATCAGGTCTGTTTAGATTTGTGTGTTTATAATGATATTTAAAAAAAAAAAAATCCAGTCCCTAATTCCTTGATCCTTTCTCTGGTAATTATTAGTGAGATTCAGGGTCACAGTTGCAAGGAACTGCAAAGAAATAGGGGTAATGGAAAAGGGAAGTTGGTTCCGTGTCAATAGCCGTGCCCTGTCCGTGGCCCATTAAACAACTTGTCTGCAACCCTGTCCTGTGTTGTGTGTCGTCTTGGCTAAGGCGACACTGCGGTGTGACCGTGTCTGCCCTCACTGTGCTGGAAGGCTTCGCATATGACGTGGGATTTAATTTTTGTAATGGAAGTATTCTCTCAAGTTTTTCATTATACAGGCAATACGTGCTTGTTGATAGGGACTTAAATACAGAAGAGAATAGGCTATCCCCTACTCCCTGTCCTTAGTTTTAGGTGGGAAAACAAAGAGGTTTCAGTTATTTTTTCAAGGCAACCGCTAGTTAGCCGTGGGTTGGAGGCTTGAACCAAGATGCTTCTTTTCGAGGTGGCTTAAGTGACTGCCCTTCTTTTTTCTCTAGATAATCACGACGTCATTTCCCTGAAGCTGTTTGAGCTGACAGTGGAGAGGACCCCAGAAGAGGAGAAGCTGCATCGGGATGTGTTCTTACCCTCGGTGGACAACATGAGGCCGCCCGAGAGTAAGCCCGGGGGAGCCTGGGAGGTGGTCCTGTGTAGGGGAGGAGGTCCAGGGGGCCTGGGGTCTGAGGCAACTTCCACCCACAGCTTGCAGGGCTCTCTGCTTTCCCTGTTCTTCCCTGAAGCACCTGCTTTTTCCCTTGTCTTCATGTCACAGATGAGCAGCGGGGAGGGCCGCTCAGTTTTTAACTGGAGGCACCTGGAAGGGAAAAGTCACTTCAAGCTCTGACTCCCCAGAATAGGCGTCAGAAGCTAGGGACTTGATAGCCCGTTGGCTGATCCTTCCCCGCTGGGGGGCTCCTTGTCCTGACTTGCTTCTCTCTTCCTTCCTCAGTGACGGCCCCACTGCCACCCCTGAGTGGCCTGGCCCTCTTCCTTATTGTCTTTTTCTCCTTGGTGTTTTCTGTGTTTGCCGTTGTCATTGGTATCATACTCTACAACAAATGGCAGGAACAGAGTCGAAAGCGCTTCTACTGAGCCCCCGTGTTGCACTGCCTCTTTGTCCCCTGTGCGGTGTCCAGGGGCAGGCGCTGGCCTGAGGATGCAGCCTGGCGGGTCTTCTCCAGTCTCCAGCAGCTGGTTGGGGACTGTGTTCTGTCACTGGAGCTTTGAATGCAGGGACACCCACGGGGCCCTCTGACTGGTTCAGGGCCCCCGCTGCCCCAGGGCAGTGCTCCTGTGCTGTGCCTTTCCCTGTGGTCCTTCCAGCTGTGATGCCAAAGTCACAGAAAAGAATTTCATAGCCCAGGCTGCCTGTTGCTGGACTCAAGAGGACCCTTGTACTTTCTTTTTAAACCCTCAAAGTATAGAAAACTGACAGTTCTTCATACCTCCCAGCCATCCATCCATCGGTTTTTGCCCGAGCCTCTGTCCGCCTGAGGAGCTTCCCTTGGAAATGCAGATGGAAACGTCTTCCCTGCCTTGCCTTCCTCTCTCCCTTCCATTCGTTGTCCTCTCTGAGTGCAACCTGAGCTGGAAAAGACATTTGGATGCCTCTTGGCTGAGGGTGGGGCTCCGGAGCAAACTTGCGTTCACTGACCTTCGTTTTCTTCAGTGGCCGAGAGAGAGGACGCTATCTGCTCTGGCTCGCTGCTGCAGCCCTTGTTCTCTCGTGAGCCTTGGGTCTGTTGCTGTGTCCGTGAGCATCCTGATCAGGTCCCTGCAGGCCCTCAGTCGAGCTGATGGTTGGCGTGCGCGGCAAGTACAGCTTGGAAGACTTCATGGCCGTCACAAGATTAACTGTGAAGCTGACTAGCTCGGGGTGTGACAGTGAAGCAGCGTTTGTCCTGTGCTCTGACGGCCATATGGAGATGTTTCGGAACTCTCTGGAGCCTGCTTAGCTGCATGTTTTGTGCTTACCATGATTTTTGGAACCCCACTTTGAGTGTGAAAAATACAAGGAAGCTTTCTTCTCACAGCCTGGACTTGGATACTCCCCAAAGAAGAAATTTGGCTTCTTTCCTTAGTGGATAAGAAAAAGTTGCTGTTCTCACGTTACAAGTCTGGGGAGCAATAGACCCTCATCCTCTGTGCCTGAAAGAGTGTGTTGTCACTGAGCATCTGAGCCTGAGTGTCAGCCTCCGTGTGTCTGTCCTTCTCCTGCTGCCTTATCCAACGAGGGGTCATACGCTGCTCACCTGTCCGCCCCATGATTAAACCGATTTACAGGCCAGCGTCTCCCTGGAGGACCTGGAACTCTGAGGCGTTCCTAGCCACGTGCTGCTTTAAACCCGTTGCCGTCGAGTCAGTTTTGACTGTAGCAACCTTATAGGACAGGGTAGAACTGCCCCACGATTTCCCAGGCTGCAAATCTTTACAGAAGCAGACTGCCTCATTTTTCTCCTGCAGAGCGGCTGGTGGGTTTGAACCGCTGACCTTTCGATTAATAGCTGAGCGCTTAACCACTGTGCCACCAGTGCTCCTTTGTACTTCTGTAGCCTAAGGGAAATTCTTAAAATGGCTGATGAGTGCCAAACACCAACTTCTGACTCGATATCCTTCCTTTTAGAGGTGGGTTTTGGGGAAGGGCCAGAATTTTTTCCTGAACCTCAAGCCCATCAACCATTGACTTGCCTTCTCCTGGGTTGGGAAAGCCTTCAGCCTAGCCCAGAAGGAAAGGAAGGGTCACCTTGGCTGGGTGGAGGTTTCTGTTTTCTAGAGCCTTCTTATATCCTTCCCCATGTCTTAAGCATCACGGGCTGGAGTGCTCTCCTGCATGTGGGATTAAAGTGGGCCAAGACTGAGGGGAACCTCCTTCCACCTTGCCTACAACAGCAGAGAAGCGCTGGATGCCGCAGGATAGACTGACCTGTAGCTTGGTGTTACGACTAGGTGGAACAAAAGATCAAACGGCTGTCTGTCTCTTTTGAGTTCAAGGGGAGATTGGATGGGTCTGTGTGGTTGGAGGACCTAGGTGGGTGCTTGAGGTGGCCGAGGCAGTGTGGAAGAGAGGGAGTTCTCATCGGACTGTGTGTGTAAGAAAGAAATCAAGCCCATGGATTTTGTATGATTCCAGCTCATGAACTCCTGGAGAGTTTAAAGAGGGCAGGGAATACATGAAATACCGTCTCTACCCTGTCTGGGGATGCTCTTACAAAAATATGTGGCATAAGAAATCTTGATCTAGCATTGTATATCCTGCCCAGCTCTTGCTTTTTGTTCTAGAAACAAAGTCCCCCTTTGTGAATAGGGAACCCTGGTGGTGCAGTGGTTAAGAGCTCAGTCTGCTAACCAAAAGGTTGGCAGTTGGAATCCACCAGCTGCTCCTTGGAAACCCTGTGGGGTAGTTCTTCTCTGTCCTATAGGGTCGCTGTGAGTCAGAATTGGCTCGGTGGCAACGGGTTTGGTTTTGGTTTTTGTGAATAGGGCTGAATCTTGTTCTGGGCACTCTCATCCCAGATTTGTGCTAGAGGAGGGAGATGCCTGGTCCACAGTGGGGGGGTTTTACGCACAGACACTTGGGGTGGGACCGGTGGTCTTGGCCACACTGCTTTACCACTCTTGAGCCATTTCCCTCCTCACAGTCAACCTTCAACTCTGCTTTCCTCTGACTTCAGAGCCTCTTAGTGTGGAGAGACCCTGAGGATTAGAGATGGTGCAGAGAGACGATGCTGCCCGTCTTTGTGAGTCTTGTTTGAAGGACTGGTGTTTTCAGCCTTCCATAGTGTCTTCAAACCCCCAACTATAAGGTGGCTCTTTGTTATGAAACTTGTTTATTTCAGTGGGAAATTACAACCCTGCCTTTCTTGCTGGAAGTGATTTCTGAACAGAATAGCCAGAATCTCCTCAGCCCCTTGTATGAGTCCTGGAAGACAAACGAGGAACTGGTAGGAAGCCCAAGGATAGGGCTGATGGTAGGTAGGAGTAAAACCAGGCAAACGTGGGTGAAGTAGTCTTGGGATTGGAAGATCTGGAAAAAGATCTCTCAGGAGATTCATAGGTCCCTGGTTTAAACTCAGGGTCGATTGTAGTAGGTTGTAGCTTCAGATCCTGGGTGGTGAGGATGGAATAGTTGCTGTTGGTGGTGGTGAGTGAAGTGACGGCATTGCTGGATATTTTAATGGCGAGTGTGTACCTGAACTCCAGGTTTAATCAAGCTCATGGCCAAATAGTTCTAGAGAGAACAGGTGACAGAGTTAGGCTGACCAGTCTGAAGGCTCTCTCCCCAGAGGCATCCCGAGAGCCCCCAGAACCTTTGTCCCTGTGCTTGTCACTCACCGGAGTTGAATAGATAAAGTTGAACAGCATCAACAGTGCAGTCAGTATGACAAAGAGGGCTAGGATTCTGTAGCGGTTGTGTCTCCAGATATAGTGCAACAAGTTTTGGATGGGTAACAGCACCCATCTGAAGGTGTTGTCGAGGCGTCTGTGCATGAGCGGGAGCGAGGTCAGAGAATAGAGGGAAGAGAGAAACTTCAGGTGACATGATCCAGAGCAAAGAACTTTCTTTTAAAAAGCCACTTCCACTTGCCCCTCTCCCCACCTCCCAAGTCTGTTCTCTTGATTGTAACTGAGCATTAAGATGGGGTGGTGAGAAGTAGTCATCCCTCTCCACTTGTAGGCCTACCACATTACCACAACGTATAAAATGCTGTCAAGGAGAAAAAAAGATTTGGTGCCTTTGCCCAGATCTTACATGGGGGGTTGAAGTGTAGGGTATTGGTTGGGTTCTGACTGGCCTCGTCCGGCTGGCTTGAGTGAGGCTTCTTCCTCTGTCAGCATCTCCAGAGTCATGTTCACTTTACCCTAGAAACACCACAGGTGGTGGGAGGCTGAGCTCACCTAGCAGGGGCAAGAATAGTTCTAGGGCTTCTTCCAAGGATCCAGAAAGGAAAAGGGATTTTAGCTAAGGTCCCTGGAAGTTTATTCCAAACCCACTGCTGCTGAGTCGATTCTGACTCCTAGTGACCCTATAGGACAGAATAGAACTGCCCCATAGAGTTTCCAAGGCTGTAATCTTTACGGGAGCAGACTGCCACATCTATTAGAGCCAAGTAATGTGGCATGGTAGTCCTAGTCAACAAACACCGTCCCCAACTCCTACCGACAAGCGCCATTTTCCATTGTCGAGGACCTGGCAAGGCCACCAGCCAGTCACAATCTTCTTCTTAAAGAGGGAGATATGCTTGTGTTGGTGGAAGTGGGGCCACTTGGGCTCCGTGTCCATCAGCCTGGTGGAGCAGTTCTTGGCATACCGGGCAGGGAAGGGCATGTCAGACAGATCCAGCTCCAGGACCCCTGGATGGACCCAGAGAAATGGTGTCAGCAAGAAGGAGCTCCCTGTCCTGTGGGCACGGGCTTTATGCCAGACTCACCTAGGAAGTCATCACTGGATAAGACATCATTGTCCCAGACCTGAATGATGAGCCGGGGTGGGAACTTGAGTGATGTGGGATCCAGGCTCCATATGTAGTCCTAGAGGACGGCAGAGCGTTTTGCTGGCACCTCTTCTTTGGGCCGTCTCTTGGACACCTGAGTAGCCCACTACCCAGCGTGATGGACCATCAGTCTGAGAACACACTTCAGGTGTTCTGGTTCAGCTTGCAGGTCTCCGGAGGGAGGGGGCAGGGGAACTCCTGGAGCCTGAGGCTGTTCCCTCCCTCCCTGGGGGCCTGCTACCTTCTGGCTCTGGATGCACATTTGCTCGGCTGCTAGGTAGTCCATGGTGAAGATGAACCGCCAGTTGAAGTAGCCCCTCCCAGTCGTGGAGTAGTAGTGGATGTCTGTCATCTGCATGTCCTTCTCCAGTCCAAACAACCACCTGAGGCCAAAGGCTGTCGCTGGGGTCCGTGCATGTTGCCCCATCCCCAAGATGGAGCCCTGTGGGGAGGACTGCGGGGAGGACTGCCCACGTGGAGCCCTGTGGGGAGGGCTGCCCAGGTGGAGCCCTGTGGGGAGGACAGTGGGGAGGACTCACCAGGGGGAGCCCTGCGGGGAGGACTGCCCAGCTGGAGCTGTGCGGGGAGGACTATGGGAGGACTGCCCAGGGGGAGCCCTGCGGGGAGGACCGTCCAGGGGGAGCTCTGCGGGGAGGACCGCCCAGGTGGAGCCCTGTGGGGAGGACTATGGGAGGACTGCCCAGGGGGAGCCCTGCGGGGAGAACCGTCCAGGGGGAGCCCTGCGGGGAGAACCGCCCAGGGGGAGCCCTGCGGGGAGGACCGCCCAGGTGGAGCCCTGTGGGGAAGGACTGCCCCAGGTGGAGCCCTGCAGGGAGGACTGTGGGGAAGACTGCCCAGCCGTCGCCAGGTGCCACTGGAAGTGGAAGGCTGTCACCCCCAGGATTAGAGGACCCAACAGGAATGACAGAACTGGGGACGTGAGGGGCCTTTGCTGGAGCCCTGACCCTCCCCTCACCCTTTGACATAGATGTCGCTGGAGTTCTTGCCGCTGTAGTGGGTGTCCTGCAGGTCCATGCTGGAAACTTGCCAGATGATGCAGCGGAGCTCATACCTGCAGCCACTGGGCTCTCAGCCTCAGCTGAGGAACAGCTTCCCAGCCGCAGCCTTGGTGCGGAAGGGAGGCCTGGGAGGCTTCTCTCTGTGCTCACAGGATTGGGGGAATTCAGAGCAAGGGGGCTCCCAGGATTCCCAGTGGAGGAAGAGTTCCTGCAGCTCAGTGTTTGGGGACACTCGCGTACAGTGCCCTGGCGGGGGGGCCGGGCTGAAATGCCGTGGTTGGGAAATGGACTGTCACTCACCTCTTCGGCTTTCTGGGGCTGATGTTGACCGGGGGGCCAGGAGGCCCAAGCTTCTTGGGGAAGATATCCACCCACATTTGTACCTTTCCCTAGAGCCAGGATAGATTAAACTGGTTGGGTTTGCTAGCCTCTGTTCTCGGTGTGCTGGTCTGGGGAGCCCTGGCCTGGGTTCCCGACACTGGGGTGGGGAATAGAGGTATCTGTGAGGTGGGATGGGCTCCAGACAGGAGTCAGGCAGCCGCCCCCCAGCTTCCCCTCTGTTCTTGTTTTGGCCAGGAGAGCGGCGCCGCGGGGCTGGTGTGGGGGAGCGGCGCCGCGGGGCTGGTGTGGGGGAGCGGCGGGGCTGGTGTGAGGTGTCATGGGTTTGAGGCTGATGGCCGTGATGCTGGGATTACATTTACTCCTGGGGTCTGTTTAGAGGGTTAATGCCGTTTAGCAGATCACGCTGGACAGCCTGTTCATACAGGGCTCCAGGCTGCGGCTGGGGCTTCATTTACTGACCAGCTTGGGGGTCCTCAGTAAGATAAACCAGATCAGTCCCAATTCACGGGTCATTCTAGGCTGTGTCACTACTGTCTGAGGACAGCAAGATGCCCACAAAGCACAGAGGCTTCAGAAGGAAGACAAGATGGAAACAGGAGTGTCCCCTCCAGGCCGTCACCTGGTCGATGCCTGGCTGGCTGTCACTGTACAGCGTGCGTGTCTCCAGGTGCTCAGGCACCAGCCCTTGCGTGTGCAGGAGGTGGAGTGCGAGGCGCTCCTTCTCGGGCCCCAAATCCTGAGCAGTAGGGGGCTTGGGCTCTGGATTGGAGGGGTGTGGGTAGAAAGAAGGGATCACAGAGTCATTAGCCTTCCCATCTCCCAGGTAGGCCCCCACCCTCGCCACCCCCGGCCTGGGCAGTGAACATGCTTGCCCCCTGCACGAGTAAAGGAGAAAAGGGGAGGGGTGCCCTCTGACCCCGAGCTCTTCCATTTGGGAGCCCTCACTGGTCTCAGAGGCCTGTGTCTGCTTTCCGGGGGTGCGCTGTGTCCCTCACCAAAGCTTTGCAGTTTGAACTTCTTCCCATTGTAAAACACAGAGTTGTCCTCAGAATCGAACAGAGGCGGAGGCAGCCCTTTCAGCCTGGCGTGGCGTTCCAGGAGGTAGCTTGGGGGCATCTGATCCCGCCACCTGAAGGGTCCTGATCTGTGGGGACAGGTGAGAGGAAGAGGTGGGGCAGGTCTGAGTTCTGGAAAACGTGGCTTGGAGCTGCAAGGATGAGCACAAGTGGGAGCGCGGGTGCAGGTAGAGCAGGTTCAGGCTCTGGCTGCCGGGATGCGGGCTCCTGATGGAGCCGTGGGCTCACTCCTCCGCCCCTTCCCCACGCCCTCCCCCAGGTTCAGGCCGGCGCTTACTGGCAGTAGGATTTGGAGAGCCCACAGCGAGCTCCAAAGCCAGACAAGAGTCGGTTTTCGAGGTCGATGACCGTGGTTCCAATCTTATCGTCAGGTGAGAACAGGTCAAAGTCATAGAGCTGGATCTCCAGGTCCTTCTCCAGGGGGATGTTGCAGCTCAGTTCAAACATCCTAGGTGAGGGCGGTGGAGACTGCAGGGGTGTGGCTGGAGAGAAGTCCAGGGCTCCTGCCTCCCCCAGGCTATCTCCCTGCCTCCCTGCAGCGTCTCAGCCCCCTGGGCCCGTGCTCCCTCCCCTGGTTCGGTGTTGGTGCACATGTGATGGTCCGTTGTCCACCAATAACTGTCCCTTGGTTATGGCTGAAAATAACTTCTGATTGACCTGGGCTACGGGGCTCTGAGCTCTCTTCCCAAAGAATCTGACCGGGAGAGTGGGCCTGGACCACCCATCGATTTATCTTCCCTCTGTTGGGCCCCTCGAGCATGTAAGACGCCATGCTGGGAGCTGGAGGTTAGGGAGGAACGCACACGTCTTTGGCCTTGCGGCGCCTTCCCCTGACATCGTGTGGGTGGGAACAGGGATGTGGGATTGGGTGAGTTGGGCAGCTCACATGCCAAAGATGGGGTCCAGAGTGTTTGGCTGGTACGTGTCCCGGTTGCCAAGCTGTTTCTGACCCAGTTTCAGGATCACGTAGGGGTCACACTGGGGCCACAGACAAGGGTGGAGAAGAACGAGAGATGGGTCTGAGAGGGTGGGCGTGGGGCTTACATGAACCCCCGGGACCAGCCTGTGGGGAGCCGGCACTCTGGGTATCAGAAGCCTGAAGGAACTCCAGATTGGGGTTCTGGGCAGGTGCGGGGGGCCCCGGGGCTGGGGGCATCTGCAGGAAAGTGAGAGCTGTGGGGTCCAGGCTGCCGCCTCACCAGACCATTGTAGTCCTGGGGCTGCAGGCTGAGTGCCCGCACCACGTACACCCGCACCAAACACTGCTGAGGGAAGCCTTCTCTCTCGGGCCAGACCAGGAACTGCCGGGGGGGCTTGGTGGCTTTGGGGTCCTCAGGGAATGGGTAGATGCGGAAAAGGCCCTGTGAGAGCGGGGCAGGGGAAGGTGTCGGGAGCCCAGGCCGTCAGCGCCGAACCCGCCAAGTGGTGCCCCCTGGTCGCAGCTGAGGAGACTGGGCTGGGGGAGGGCGGCGAGGACAGGCTGTGAGGAGGGTAGTGGCAGATGCAGCAGGGGCCTCCTGCAGGGCCCCCAGGGGCGGTGGTGGGGTGTTGGACAGGAGAACCGCCATCCCTCGGTAAGTTCCCATTGTCTACGATTGTGCGTGTCCATTTCACTCAGCCATCCCTTCGGCTTTGCACTTGTTCGCTAAGGCTCTGGGGCCTTGGGAGACCAGCACAGGTCAGAGCTGAGTGTGAAAAGGCTGTTTCCCTTCCTGTGTAAGGGGGGTAGCTCGGAATCCCTGCACGGTCCAGTCTCTGCTCCCCCACCCGCAAAGCTGTTTCTCAAGCCCTCCCTGCACATCCTCACAATGAGTGTGATAAGGCCAGGGCTTCTATTGGGGTCTTCTGGGAATAGGAGGGGCACAGGAGATAAGGAGCTAAGCTGGGATAGCGGCCTTGGTGACTCTGTGGCTCAGTGCTATGGCTGCTAACCAAAAGGCGGGCAGTTTGAATCCACCAGCCACTCCTTGGAAACCCTCTGGGGCCGTTCTCCGTCCTGTGTGGTCGCTGTGTGTTGGAATGGACTCGATGGCAGCGGGTGTGGGTTTTTTTTGTTAAGCTGGGATAGACACACCTTGAACTCTCCCACTACGGGGCTGTCCAGCACGGGCTTCTCCTTGTAGAGTTTGAAAGTCTGGCAGAAGTCCTGCAGACCTTTGAAGTCTGGCACAGCCTCCAGCTCACAGTCGTACACCTGTGGGAGGGTACATGCGACCCAGGCTGCAGGGAGGAGCAGGCCTCGGCCTGGCCAGAGGGGGACCACCCCCTGGATCAGGGGATTGAGGGGCCACCAGCTCCCAGGTCTTGCTCCAAACCATCTGCCCTATCACCGGCCCTGGAGTCAGCACTGTCTGCTTCGGACAGGCAGCCCAGGTTCCTGCTAGGGTGTGGCTGGTACGTCCTGCCGTCTTGTGGCGATAGTGAGGAAAGCCCCCTGCTTGGTGGTTCCCCAGGGACTCCAGGCCAGGTCTGCTGGCCTTTCCCAGCATTAGGTTTTACTCCACCTCTCTCAGCGCCCTCCCCTCTCTGGGGGCCTCCAAACCTTCAGGGTGTGGTAGTCTTTGTCCTTGTACTGTAAGGATCCGGGGGCATCTCTGGTGGCCCAGGACAGCTTGCTCCACCAGTCCACGTCATGCTCATACTCATCCTGCAGGAAGAGGGTAATTCTGCCTTTGGCCCTTGGTTGCTGGGGTGGGGGGGCACCCTGGGGGCACAGTGGTTAAGCGCTCAGCTGCTAACTGAAAAGTTGGCGGTTTGAACCCACCAGCTGCTCTGTGGGAGAAAGATGTGGCAGTCTGCTTCTGTAAAGATGACAGCCTCAGAAACCCTATGGGGCAGTTCTACTCTGTCCTGTAGAGTCACTATGAGTTGGAATTGACTGGATGGCAGTGAGTTTGTTTTGCAGGGACGGAGGCACACTGGCCTTCGCCTGCCCAGGGTCATACTGCCCTCCCAGCCCGCCCTCCGAGCTGGCTGGGGCCCTTCCCCACCTCGGCTTTGTGGTAATTGAGCCGTAACTTTTCATAGAGGTAACCTAGGAGCTGAAAAAATGAGAGCAGGGTGAGGTCAGGCAGCCCACAGTCCCTCCCGTCTGACTTCCAAGGAGAGGGGTTGGCCAGGGCCTGCTTCCCTTGTCTCTTTGCCCTTCACCTAGGCTGTCTGGCCTGGTAATTCAGGGACCTTGAGACGTGAGGTTGGGGAGCGGGAAGGAGGGTAAGCAGAGCTCTCCGTCCTCCTCGCCACAGGCTCTGGACTCTGGAAGTGGCTCAGAAACACAGAACCTCAAGCCCCACCTCAGATCCACTGACTCAGAATCTGCTTTTTATCAAGGTGCCCAGATGATTCTGTGCACAAAATTTGAGAGGCAGTGTTCTAGAGCGGTCGTTCTGAACCCTGGAGGCACGTTGGAGTCACAGATGCTGTTGTCTGGGTCCCGCCCCCTGCTAATGTCGTTCGTTGGCGTGTAGCCCAGGTATCTGGGTATTCTAACGTAGTTAGAGCTGGAACCACTGCGTTAGAGTGTGAGTGTGCAGGTGGGCCTCACTCTGGGGGCACAGACATCAGAATTCTGCCTACTTTCCTGTCAATGGTGCTGCTGAAGGCGGGACCTAAGCCCTTCACTCACCTGGTGGTGCTTCTTCATGGACAGCGCTGTTTGGAGGAAGTGCAATCATGAATCTCAGGAGCAGGGAGAAAGGTGGGGTGGAGGGACACCAACCCAGAGGGGAGCCGGGGCCTCACCCCACTCTCAGTGGGTGACAGGAGGTGAGGCCTAGGGAAGGGCAAGGAAAAAGGGTCGTACTTGGAAGCCTTGGGGGCACGTAGTTGTCAGCCCAGGGGTCACAGACATAGGGCTGTAGGAAGTCAATGATGGCCTGACCCACCACGGTCTGCTGGCTGAAGTCCCGGGTGTCCACCACCTTCACCATGAGGGGCAGTGAGTAGGCCTCCTCTGTAGGCATAAACTGCACCCCAAGAAGAGGTGGGGAGCGTGAGTCCCCCTGAAGAAGAGGGTTTCCCCAGCCCCTGCCCGAGGACCTCTTACCAGTGTGAAGAAGAGGGCAGACTGGGGGAAGTTGGGGTTGGTCTGGAAGTCCTTGATGGGCTCTGTCCTCAGGGACTGCTCCCCACATTCCACCAGGAGATAGGGGGAGCGTACGTTCTTCATGTTCCGGAGGCCCCAGACCAGGACCTGCCAGATCAGAGAAGGGAGGCGGGGCAAGGGGTAGGCAGTGCCTGTGTAATGGGGTCCTTCCACAACAGAGGAGCCAGGAGGGGCAGGGGCAGGCAGTGCCTCTGTAAGGGGGTCCTTCAGAACAGAGACAGGAGGCGGGGCAAGGGGCAGGCAGTGCCTCTGTAATGGGATCCTTCCACAACAGAGGAGCCAGGAGGGGCAGGGGCAGGCAGTGCCTCTATAAGGGGGTCCTTCCAGAACAGAGGAGCCAGGAGGGGCAAGGGGTAGAGAGAAGGGGCTGCCCTCGGAATGATGGCACCAGAGGGCACATGCCTGGGGAACAAGCTGCGCAGAGAAAGTCTGAAGGCTCTGCCTGTGGGGACCAGTGCTTGTCCTCAAGGCCTGAATGCTGCCCTGCTCTCTGGGAGGGAGGTGCCCTCTGGTCACTGTGACTGTATCCCCCACTGGCCTCTGACACTTCTTACTCACATACTACCTTGTCTGACCTCAGTCCTCAGGAGGGAGTTCCTGAGGTTGGCTGCCTGCAAGGCCCACAGAAGCAGGGAGGGGTGGCGCCCCAGGCTTCCCAGGGCTCCCTCGTGGCATCTGGTTCATTGCTGACTTGTGTCCCATAGAACTCTGGCCATTCAGTGACCCAGCATCCTGTGTTCTCACTCTCAGCTGACTGACACTGAACATCCCAGGAAACATACACGCCCTTTCTCGTGGGGCCTGCTCGGGCCAGAGCGCAGACCAGCCAGGTCGCCTGGTCTTAGGAGGACCTGACCATCCTTTGCTCTTTGCCAAGGGTATGGCAGGGCACACAGGTAGAATGGGGACCTTCATGCTACTCTTAGATGAGAAACATCCAGGCATTTGGAGTCAGACAGAGCTGGGCTCAGATTCTGGCCCTGCCTCTTAGTCCCTGTGTCACTCTGCATGGAGTGTGTTGTCTGAGTCTGTTTCCTTCTCTGAAAAGGCAGAGTCCCTACCACACAGGGCGGTGTGAGGCCTAAACGCTACCGTGAGAGCTAAAGCCCTTTGTACGCTGCCCACGGCAGAGATTTGCGTTAAAATAATGGAAAATGTTACGTCAGAGCTTCTGCTCCTCAGTTCTCTACTGCTCCCCTCCATCTCCCGGATCGTATCTCCTTGAGATCCAGGCTTTGGGTCCGGTAGTCAGAAAGGCCCAAGAAGGGTCAGCAGGGAGAGCTCCACAGTGCCAAAGACTGCTCTGGGTGATGCCTGCACCCTGCCCGTCCTCCCCGCTCCATGCTTCCTTCCCTGACCCTCCTGCCCCATGCCATCGTCACCTCAACAGCCATCTTCTTCAGCGTGGGCTGGATGTCCTTGGGGAGCATGTAGACCTTATCCTTCCAGGGAACACTCAGGATCGGCGGCTTCTTCTCTCTGACACTCTTGAGGGATGAGGGAGGAGAGCAGAGAGCATGAGGCCCCTTTGGGCTGGTCCTTCTCCCCCCACCCCATCTCAACTCAAGCAAGTCCCTGAGAGGGTCCAAGTGAGGAGGCCCCAGAACCTCATGGTTAGAAGTTGATGGGGGAGCTCTGGGGAGCTTGAGTAGACCGATGTCACCAAGCCCAATTTCTGGTTCCCAGGCCCCAGGCTTTCTTGAGGGGTGGAGTTGGGGAAACTGACTCTGGAAATTTGTAGCTGGGAAGGTGGGGTGGGGAGGGGGCCCCGGACACAACACCTCCTAACCGGGCCCTCTGTCCCAGTACCTGGGTCTCGAGGATCAGCTCACAGGATGCCAAGATCTCACCCTCTTCCTCCCCCATCGCTTTTACAAGGGGGTGCCACCTCATGGGGGGCAGGGTCCGGTCTTCGAGATCCAGCCAGACCACTGGGGACCACATGCTTCGTCCCCACAAGCTCTCTTTGCCCTGGAGGGAAGTGCAAGTTTGCAAGCTGCGAAGGCCCCGCTGGCAGTGTTCCAGCTCCTCCCTGGATTCCGACAGTGGTAGGATACGTGGTGCTCACCACTCTTCAGCTCCACTGGAGCACCGGCACGTATATTCCTCTAAGGAAAAGTTCTCAGCAGCTCTGAGAGCTAGGTCCTTGTCCCCAGCCCAGCCCCCCTTACCTGGGAGTCCTGCTGCCACAGTTCCAGCACCACGAGTGGTGGGCTCTCTTTGGTGTCCTGGGGGTTCTCATAGAGGAGGAGGTGCAGGAAGACCAGCGTCTGGGCCCAGGTGGGGGCTGTGGAGCTGCTCAGTGTCTGCGTGGACTGGCTGTGGTTCAGGAAGACCGCTCGAATGAAAGGCCCTGGAGGGCGGTAGGGGGAGGGGAGGCAGTGGCTTTGGGCTCTCAGGTGAGGCTGTCCTCTGCTCTGGCTGCAGCCACCCACCACTGGACCAGGCACCCAGGGAGGCCCACTCAGTGTAAGCAGCAAGATACTGTGTGTATAACCAGAGGCCAAGGGATCATCTGGTTTCATCCATTTCACGCCTGCCATGTTTGAGGCCTGGAGACCTCTGGAGGAGTTGTGGGGACTAGGCGACACGGTGGCTGCCCTTCCACAGCATCAACTAGTGGCCTTGGCATCAGGGAACGTTGTGTGGCCCTCTTGATGTGGGTGGTGTCCAGTGGACACAGCTCCCAGCAGGCATCCTTGGAGTCCTACCACCCACCGCCCTGGTCCAGACCTCATCCATCTCCCTGTAAACAGTGCCACCAGCAGGAGTGAGTGGGAGTGTGTGACTCACTCACCTCCTAAGATCTTCAGTGGGTCTTCCTCATGGGAAGGAGTACAGCTCTTCCCTCACAGGGCCTGAAATATCCATGTCTCCTCCCTGCCCGCCCATCTGGTCCAACCACAGTGACGCGTGTTTCCCAAGCACGTCATCCTCTTTTTTGTCTCTGAGGTGTTCCTGCCTGCTGTTTCCTCACCAGTACAAACTCCTCCTTCCTCTTCCAGCCCAGCCAAGTGGTCACCACTGGGGAGACACCTCCTCGACTCCCCCTTCTCGTTCCACAGCACTGGGGACGCACCTCAAGAGCAGTCCAGCCTCATGTCGTTTTGGTGTCTTTTCCCCAAACCACAGCCATGAGCTGTTGTGGGGAGGGGACTGCTCCTTGGCTCCCCTTTCTTGCCACATTCTTTATCCTGCTGGGTGACCATCTTGCCAGGCCCCTGGGGGACTAGGGGAGAAGGGGTGCTACCACCTACCCTGGAACATCTGGATCTGGTTGGGCTTCAGGTTCCGGGCCTGGTAGATGTAGCAGAAGAGCTGGTAGTAGTGGGGCTCTGGGTGAGAGGGAGCCAGCGTCCATCACCTGCCCAGGACCCCCAAAGGCTACCTTTGCTCGCCCCCCTCCATGAGCCTCCCCAGGCCCTGCCTTCAGATACTGGGCCCCTGGGGCCACCCAAGTAGACTTGCAGTTGGATGCTCACTGTTGAAGATGCAGTAGATGAAGGGCATGTTGGGTGGCTGGGTGTTCTCTGGGGTAGGCCTCCAGATGTTGGAAAGCATTTTGTGCATTCCCCATAAAGATGTTCTGTCCTCCTGGTCCTTCTTGTCCTGAGTCAGGTCCATGCCCAGTGCCTAGGAGGGTCTCCCCTGAGGCTCTTGGGTGCTTTTCCTATATCCCCCAGCCCAGGCCCACATCAGCTTCCTCCCCTCACAGGCTCCACCCACCGAAGCCCTGGAACATGGAGCTGCCTTCCACCCTCTCCCACCCCGCAGTGGTCAGTGCCCAGCTGGGGCACCTCGGAGTCTCTGCCACATGGAGGTTAGGCCCTGGCTCTGGGAGGTGGGGCTGCAGGGGGGCTTTACCAGGGATCCCTCGAGGAGAAATATGGGTGCAACGCCCCTGTCCTTGTTGGGGGCCAGCCTTCGGTGCCAGCAGCGGCGGCGGAACTGGCTGTTAGGCTGAGGGTTCAGGTGGAACTTGGAGCCAAAGGTGCCATACTCCCAGCCCTCGTCCTCCTTGGCCACGCTGGGGCTGTGCTGTGGGGCGAGGACAGCCGAGGTGGCCCAAGGTGGACCCCACCTGTGTGCAGGTGGCAGCTCAGCCCACCCGGCGGCCTCCTCACCAGCTGGAGGAAGGACAGTGTCTCCTGCTCGTGGGTCAGCGTCCGGGGGCTCCGGAAGCGCACACGCACCCAGCGTCGCCGTCGCACCGAGTAGTAGGTCTTCTCCACCGAGTTCCAGGCCAGCGGCAGGCCGGAGGGCGGGATCCCCACTCCGTACTCCCAGCCTGCGGGAGGAGGACCAGGCCTCTGCGTCCCCAGGTGCTCACAGGCTGGGAGGCCAGGCAGGTTGCAAGATGGGCCCTAGAAGGGCAGGCTAAAGGGCGCTGATGTCCTCAAGCCTCTGGCCCTGAGGCCTGCTTTGTGCAAAGAAAAGATGTGTTCTTCCCACCTGAGTGGCCCTGGCCCCACGTGCATCTTACAAATGAGGAAGGGAGGGGGGGCTCAGAGATGGACCATGACCTGCCCAAGGTCACACAGCAGGTAAGCAGCAGTCTGGATCGGGAACCCAGGTCTTCAGACTGCCAGTCCAGGGCACCTTCCCTGAGCTACCTGGGTGAACTCCGGCTCAGCAACAGATTCACACCCACAGCACCTGACAGGCTTCACTTGGGCCAGGCCCCAGGAGGCACTTACAGCCTACACTCTCTCAAACTCGGGCCCAGGTCCACAGACGGGTGCAGACCCTGCTCTCTGGAGGTTGGGGGATGCCAGGAATTCAGGCCCATCCCACCCAAAAGTGTGGCTACTGAGGCTGTCAGAAGTATCCAACACCCCGGCCTGCCCCAACAGCACTGGCAGCTGCAGTGATTCTGAAGCCACAGCTCAGCAGAGGCCTTCGGTCCTGCCACCGTCATCCCTGAGCACAGGACTGACCCTCATTGTCCACCGCGTGGTTCAGCTCTACAGTCCAGTTCTTCTGAACGTACCAGCCTCGGGGGCACTTTATGTTCTCCCGGGCCTCCATGAAGTTTCCTTCCTGCGGGTGGACAGAGAGGGAGAGCTGAGGGGTGCCTGAGCTGGAACAGGGCCTGCCGTGGCCTCACACCCCCAGTGCCACCTTCCCCCTTTCTGCCATCTATCTGTGCATCTGTTGTGGGCACAGTGGCCTCCAAACAGACACGGTCCCATCCTCTGGACCGGACGGCATCTTTTGCCAACAATATATTCACTTAATACGTTTTTATTGACTTGCTTTTATTGAACTTTATTTTTAAAAGCAACTTTATATAAGCCACTAAAAATCAGTATCACCCACCATGAATAGGAAATAACCATAATTATTACTGTGGAAACAGAAGAGTGAGCGCATTCCAGCCAGATGCTGCTGCCTGCCCCAGCCTGCCGCCCGCTCTCTCCCTGGTTAAAGGGGGGATTAGCACGGGTGGGAGTCCAGGTGGTGCAAAGGTTAACGCGCTCAGCTGCTAACCAAAAGGTTGGAGGTTTGAGTCTGCCCAAAGGCTTCTCAGAAGAAAGGCCCCGCCATCTTCTTCAGAATCATCAGCCATTGGAAATTATGGCGCACAGTTCTTACGCTGACGTGCACGGGGTCCTCACGAGTCAGAATGGACTGGTGGTAAGCATGCGCTAGAGATGGGGTAGACCTGCACAGTCCAATCTGGAGCCACCAGCCACCTGGGGCTATTTAAATTTAAATTAATTAGAGTTCCAGAAAAACCCAAACTGGTTGCTAGTGACTGATTCATGGTGACCCCATGCCCCGCCCCCTGTGTTTCAGAGAACTGTGCTCCGTAGGGTGTTCAATGGCTGTAATCTGACTTCTGCATCGCCACTGGGTGGATTTGAAATGCCAGCCTTTCGGCTGAGGAAACTGTTTGCACCAGCCCCCGAAACCAAATCCGTTGCCGTCCAGCCAATTGTGACTCACAGCGACCCTATAGGTCAGAGTAGAACTGCCCCATAGGGTTTCCAAGGAGCAGCTGGTAGATTCAAACTGCCGACCTCTTGGTTAGCAGCCTGAGCTCTTAACCACTGCGCCACCAGGGCTCCTTGAACTACCCAGGGACCTCTAATTAAAATTAAACAAAATGGAAAGTTCAGTTGCTCAGTCTCGCTAGCCACATTTCAAGTGCTCGATAGCCAGACGCGGACAGTGCAGACGTAAAACACTTGCCAGTATTGCAGAAAGTTCTCCCGGACAGTGCCGGCTTAGACTAGCCCCAAACTGAGACCCTCTCCTTCAGGGTAAGTACCACCTCTGAAAGAGGCCTGAGGAGGAAATACTGCCCCTTCGTTTCTTGTGGTCTTGTTGGAGGTATCTCTGACCCACCATCTTGGGATACAGCCCCCATCAGTGCCTGGGAGGGGCCCGAGGGCTGAAGGATGTAGGATCCCACACATCACAGGAAGCAGGACTCAGATCATAACTCCTAGTCCAGTGCTCTTAGCACCTGGACACCCCAGCTTCCAAGGCCCTCCACCCCCCTCCCACAGTGAGGCTGGAGCCCCTGCTCACCACGTCCGTGTTTGGGATGGCCGCAGGCACCCAGGCCCCTGTGACGTCACGCCACTGGTTCTCATACACCTCTTCCAGCACCTGGCTCTTGTTGATGTCTGTGTCCAGGAGAAGTCTAGGGGAGGAGACCCCAGGTTCCCAGGACATCTCCCTGAACTGCCAGGCCCCTGGGGTCCTCTGCTGGCTATTCACCCCCTACCCGCCCTGGGCAAGGCTGGGCGTCCAGGCAGGGTAGGGGGCAGGCCCTGTGTCTGGTGCACCCCAGCCCACGGAGACCTGGCTGTGGGAAGGCCAATTGAGCTGACAAGTATGCATCCCCCCATGCTGTCTCTGTCCTATCTGTGCCCACCTGTCCCGGCCTGCCGCTGTCCAGATCTCAGGTAGAAAGAAGGGTCAGCTCAGGTGGGGCTGCCTGCACCCCCAGCCTTACCTCCTCTGAGGCTCCACCATCCACTTCCCCTGCCAGTGCCATCCCAGGGGCACCCTGAAATCCTCCTTGGGGAGGGACGTGTGTCCTATGACGTCCGAGAAGTTGGGGCAACGGCGCAGCCCCTGTTGCCCCCACTGGTCTTTGTACTTGGCCTGGTTTTCATACTGGAGGACAGGAGCTCGTCAGGGCCTGCGGCCGCTAGCACACAGTGGGACACCACGCCCCGGCCCTGGGCCCCCACCCCGCTAGCACACAGTGCCCCACCCCCGCTAGCGCACAGTGGGACATCATGCCTGCCCTGGGCATCCACCCCCGCTAGCACACAGTGGGACACCATGCCCCGGCCCTGGGCCCCCACCCCCGCTAGCACACAGCGGGACGTCATGCCCGCCCTGGGCCCCCACCCCTGAGGGCGGGTGCTTCTAGCACATTGGTAATCAGGCAAGAAGGGGCCCATGGTCCCTGCTCAGGGTGGGGGTGAGGAACGGAGGGAGTCCCACCAAGACAGACAAGTCTGCATCCCCTCTGCTGTCTCTGTCCTGTCTGGGGCCCCGCAGACAGGGCTCATCAGTCACATACGTTCCCCTGAGCTGAGGGTTGCCACAGATCCTTTATAAAACCAGAGCTCGCCGCCCCGTCCGTCCGTCAGCACGGGCAGGCCCCGTTTATGGAGGGCCTTACCCCACGTCCTGTAACCCTCATGTCCTCCTGTCACAGCTGAGGAGACTAAGGTTAACAGAGGTCAGCTCTGCCCTGGCGGCTCAGCTAGCACAGGGTGGACTGTTGGGGAGCCAGACCCCGGCACCTGCACTGTGACTGGCCCACGTCCCCTCCCTGCAGACCTGGGGAACCCAGTCCCGCTGGACCACTTGCCCCACCTTTGCTGTCTGGGCCTTTTCTCCCACGTTCCCCCTGCTGGACACCCAGTCCCTGCCCCCTGCACCCACCCCTCAGTCCCCCTCCTCCTCTGCCTCTCCAGGCCCTACACGGGGCGCGGGTTAAGCGTGTTGTGTTATATTCATCCCCAGCTCGTAACTCGTAACTCGTAACTGCGAAACCAGCTTTCAAATCAGTCAAACAGCCTGAAACGCAAAACTTATTTCCTCTCCACTGTCAGATCCCCCTCTGGAGCCATGTGCCCCAGCTCTCCAGCAAGGGTGGTCTCCCTCCTGTGCTTCTAGAACAGTCTCCGGACGCTCTGGGGCCTCTGGGTTGATGATCTGTGGGCAGATGCCTCATTTCCTGCTGCTCCGGGTGGGCAGGGGCTGTTCCTGGGCTTCCCGTCCCCCGGGACCACCAGCCTGGCCTGAAGGACCCAGCTGGGGTCTACGGGGGTCCCAGACTGCCATGCTAGTGCCCGACAGCCCCTCTCCCACCCCTCAGTCGGAACCTTGCTGTCCCTACATGAACTGGGAGAAATCGCCATGAACCTCCAGCAGGGAGAGAATGAGCCCCGCAGGGCCCCTCTGCCACCACAGTGTCACCCACATGCCTGTGGCTTGTCAACAAGGGACCTTGGGCCGGCAGCATCTGTGGGTCATTCTATCAGACCCCTTTCCTTCTGCAATTCTGAGATCTGGCCATTAACGTTTCATTTTCAGGGCTAGGTTATTGCAGCTTCCACCTCCCTCCTCCCATAAACGGCCTCCTGTGAGGCCGTTCTCTGTCCCCTGCCAGGCCTGTCCTGCCTGCCCCCGCCTTCTGCGCCCCCACCCCAGCGTCCCTGACCCGTGCCCAGCGGCCAGCCCGCGCTCACCGTCTCTGCATACACCACCACGTTGCCATGACGGAGCAGCTTGAGATCCTTGCTGTCTTCCACGTTGCCGAGCCACATGCAGACCCGGATGTGGGCCGGGAGCATGTCCTTCTGTCCTTCACCCTCTGGGTACTGAGGCAGAGGCAGGTCCATCCCCCAGGGAGAGCCAGTCCCCCAGGGGTGGGGTGCAGATGAAGGAGGGGACACACCCCTGGAATGGGTCACCCTGAGCCCCAGGGAGCAGGGGACCTCACACTGAGCTGCGTGCTGGAGCTAAAAAGGGAGTTATACAGAGTTCCTGCCTTCAGGACAGACACGGTTCAGAGTGGGGGACAACGTGCAAACTGGGGAGGACAGCACCCTGTAACCTGTGCATGGCAGAGAGGCTGGGGAGCGGGGGGTGGCGGGGGGCCACGCTGCTAGCAGCCTGGAGGGCTTGGCCAGTAGCGGAGTTAACGCTAGCGTTTATTGTGTGCTTGCCCTGCGCCAGGCACTGCGCTGAGCACCGAGAGCATCTCTGCTTTACTCCTCACCCACCACCCTCAGCTGGGCGTCGTGAGCAACACTCCCATTTTATAGAGCGGCAGACTGAGGCTTGGACAAATTCAGGAATTGCCTATGGTCACACGAGCTGGTGGGTGACAGAGCCAGGATTCAAGTCCCAGGATTAGGCTTGGGGGGTGGGGGAGTGCCACAGTGGTGGGGGAGGGCAGCCGGGCGTCCAGAGTGGCTGGGCTGTACAGAATACGGGCCAGAGAGGGACCATGCAGGGAGGATGGCGGGGGACCTGACAAAGGAGGTTGGCTTTTCTCCTGGAGGTGGTGGGGAGCCAGGGACACACGGAGGGAGTGACTCCCCACCACGCGCCTGAAGGCTATTGTCAGGCAGGGATGGGGGTGGACCGGGCGGTGCGGTGTTCAGTCTGTCTTATTCCTGACTTGCATCTGACATGATTGGCTGGTGCCCAGACCTTGTAGGCCATTAGATATTTTAGATATTACCCAATGGTGGCCCAGGGGAGAGGTGACAAAGGACTGGACCAAGTGGTGGCTGTGGGCATGACGGGTGAGATGAATTGAAGGCCGTGGATGAGGCAGATGGGCTAGTGTCTCCCACATGCTAACAGCCACAGGCTCCTGCCTTCCTCTGGGGCCTGTTTAAACCCCATTTCACCTGGTAAAGGGCCAGGGAGAGAGCAAGTGGGGTGCCCGTGGGTGCTCTCGGGGAGCCCCGTAGGGGCTGCTCTCAGAGTTCAGGGCCCTCTTCTCTCTTGAGGACTGGGGCAGCCTCAGGACCCCGTTCTTTCCTACCTGTAAGAGGAGAGTCTGTGTCTTCCCGCAGAATTTGCCAGACTGCAGGGGCCCGGCCCGGGAGAAGAGGATGGTGTGGGCGGGCACCTGGGCGTAGGCCACTCGCTGGTCCTTGACCATCAGCCAGATCATCGCGTCCGGGAGGCTCACCTGGGGCTGCGGCGGCGCCAGAGCGTCAGGCCCTGCCCGGCCACCTCAGAGCCCTGCCCGCCGCGGTGTCTCCAGAGCCCACCTCAGGGAGCACGGAGTTGAGGCGGTACAGCCAGCCCTCCGCGGTGGCCACCATGTCCTTGGGCTTGGCTTCCCTGGCCTGCCTGGCCAGCTGCTGCAGGAGGTGATTACGGAGCTCCCACCTCTTCTTGTCCAGCTCCGTGGCTTTGGGCTGATCGGTCAGGCAGGGCAGGGGGCGCCTGTGGCCAGGGCGGGGTACGACGGACTGGGCCTCCCACGTCTCACAGCCCACAGCCCTCTGGCCCTTCCTCAGGCTGGTGGGCCCTTCCTAGGCTTGAGATGCCTGCGCATCCACTGCGGGCCGCCCGGGGACCCTTCCCCCATCCTCTCAGGAAGCCCTGGTCACTGTGGGTCCGGCCTCTCCGTTCTCATACGTCCCCCCAACCCCCCATCTCCCAAGACCCTGCAGTGTGCCGGGCCTCCCTCAGGGACCTCCCGGGGAGAAGAGTATGCTGTCAGGGGCCCACCAATCACGGGAGTGCGGGGGGCCAGACCAAAGTGGGGGCTCGGAGTGGGGAGAGGACTTTGACAGGCAGAGACCTGGAGGAGGGCGTTTTAAACAGAAGGGTCAGCGTGGGGAAGGGGCTCGTCTGGATCACAAGGAGAGGTTCATTTGGTGGGAGCATCAGGCATGGGTGGGACCATAGCAGGGACAGTGCTGGGGGCGGGGGGTCAGGGCCATTTTCTCCCCTGAATGTCAGGGGAGAGACTCTGCTGTCTGGGTTTCAAGCCTGGGGGAGATGTGAGCAGAGCCCCTGCTTCTCACGGAGGCGGGGTTCTGTGGGTCCTGATCTGAGCACCCCCCAGCCCTGCCCCCACACCTACTGGCAGTCCTCAAGCAGCTCCTTCAGCAGCTTCTCCCACTGGAGGAGCAGGGCCGGGTCCTTCGGATTCCGCGTGGACTTCAGGGTGTCCAGATTGGCCTTCTGCCCGCACGAGAGAAGTGAGAGAGAGCTGGCGTCAGCAGGGACCTCACCAGGACAGGCTGCAGGGGGGCTGATTGGCCCAAGATGTCTTCAGCCAGGACTTGGGGACCTCTGAGGGATAGCCTGGTGATGTCAGTCCAAGGCTGCCCCATGCCCTTGCAAGGCCAGGACCCTGGCTCACCCTTTCTGCTACCCAACAGGAGAAATGGGTGGCAGGAGGGAGCCAGGGTGGGGTGGGCCTGGGAAGCAGCACAGAAGGCCGATCCCAACCGCAGCTCCCCGCCACATGTGTATGTGCGAGAACGTCATGCCTGAGGCAAGAGGCGTGGGGCGCCCTCCCGCCTAAAACCCACTCAGTGGCCCCCCAAGGTCTATGCTCCTTGACAGGCACCTAAGACCCTTTGTGATCTGATCCCTTCCAGTTTCACGGGCCTTATCCCCATGTCACCGCTATGCCCCCACTCCCGAACTTCAAAGACTAGTACATCAGCACGACTTTGCATGTTATTCCCTTCTTCTTCGTTTTTTTTTTTTTTTTTTTACTGTGCTTTAGGTGAAAGTTTAGGAGCCCTGGTGGCGCAGTGGTAAAGAGCTCGACTGCTAACCAAAAGGTCAGCGGTTCAAACCCACCAGCCGCTCCTCGGGAGAAAGATGTGACAGCCTGCTTCTGTAAAGATGACAGCCTTGGAAACGCTATATGGGGCAGTTCCACTCTGTCCTATAGGTTTGCTATGAGTTGGAATCAACTTGATGGCAACGGGTTTGGGTTTAGGTGAAAGTTTACAGAGCAAATTAGTTTCTCAGTAAACAATTAATCCGCAAATTGTTCTGTGTCAGCACACTCCCCTTCTCAACTTTGGGTTCCCCATTTCCATTCGTCCAGTTTGCCTGTCTGTTATTCCCTTTTTGACCCTGTACCGCAAACTCCTACACATTCTTCAGGACCCTCACATGTCACGTCTTTTGTGAGCACCTCCTGAGTATCCTTGTTTTTGATCTCCCCTTCCGGGTTTCTCTGATCGCGTAGGTCTCGGCACCTGTGTCTCCACCAGGGCCCTGACCGCGCTGCACAGTCACTGTTTGCATACCCGACTTCAGCAGCCGGTGGGGACACGGCTGTGAACAGTCATCTTCGTGTCTTAGCGCCCAGCACTGTGTCTCGGTTAACGTGGAATGCACGGATGAGCTGTGTGACTGTGACTCAGTTCCCCAACTCCCCGTCAATTACCTGAACCCCGGCCCCCGCCATCGCTCTCCTGCAGCACTCACCAGGTGGTCCCGAGCGATGTGGAGGAGGTTGAGGCAGTTCATGCGGAAGCTGACGTCCTCCCAGTAGGAGGTCACGGCCACGACAGGCTTGGTGTTGTACCAGGGCACGTAGTGGTAGATGTTCCCTGAGACACAGAGACGCACGGGGCGGGGGGTGTCTGAGGGATGCTGGGAGGCCTCCCCTCACTGTATCACCTCAGAGGAGCTCCCTTGGGTGACTCCATCTCTCCAGGATGCAATCTGCTGACAATCTCAGCCGGACCCCTCCCGCCAGGAGAGTGGTCTAGGGGCTGTTGGAGAGTGTGGGCATGCTAATAAACACGGAAGGCCCTTATGGATATTCAGGGTGCTCAGTGCTCCGTGCAGCCTTTCAGAGTCCCTGCTCGCAGATGGGGAAGTCAAGGCTAGAGGTGTGAAGTGGTTTGCCTGAGGTGACCAAGCCAGCCATCAGGACACATGGGTCTCTCTCCAGAGTCCCCGCTCTCAACTCAGGCAAAATGCCAAGGCAAGGGGCATGCCTTGAGGTAGGGCTCACCGTGGGTGTCCTCTGAGCAGAGGAACAGTGGGCCTGGGTTCAGGGAGAAGGCCCAGGGGTGGGTCGCGGTGGGCGGACATCTAAGGTAAATGGCTCACGGCTGCAGAGGAATTGGGCGGGGGAGCAAAGGGGATAAAACCCAGTGGCAGACTGGATTCCCTGGCAGTTTTCCTTACTGGAATGAGTGAAAAGCTATATGAAATAGAAGAGGTTCGTTTGTGAAATACCTTTCTGAGTTGGCATAAAAGGAAAAAAATCCACAGAAGCCAAAAACAAAGTAGAAACAAAGTCTGTGAGGTAAGCCAACGCCAAAGCTGACTTTTGCCCTTTAGGTGTGTGGCAAATCTTGGAGAACTTGCGCTTCCCCTTTGGGAAATGCGGGGGCACAGGGGGCAGGAGAGAACGCCTACCACCACCCAAGGGGCTGTCTAGCAGGAGACACCATAGGGCAAGGTCACTGAGAAATAATCCACCACACAGAAGGGACGGTGAGGAAACCCGGCTGTCTCCAGAGTGGTTCTGGGTGGAGGGGGAAGAAAATCTTGAATATTTACAACCCAGAGTGGAGCCTCATGCAGGGTTGCATTCTGGGTTCATGCTAACTGTGTGGTCTGAAGAATGCCAAGAAAATTAAATGAATTTCTACAGATTAAGTTCCAAGAAGATGAGCAGCTTAGAACCAATACACATACTCTCCAGCCTGGCAACTGCACTCCCAGGTATATACCCAACAGAAAGGCATACTGAGCGTTATCAAAAGACACGTGGAAAACTGTTCACAGCAGCACCGTTCATCGCGATGTTATCGTTAGCTGCCACTGAGTCGGCCCCCGACTCACAGTGTCCCTGTGAGCAACGGGACAGCATCTCCATGCTTGGTGGCAAATCCAACCATTGTGATCCATGGAGTTTTCATTGGCTGATTTTTGGAAGTAGATCACCAGGCCTTTCTTCCTAGTCTGTTCTAACCTGGAAGCTCTGCTGAAACCTGTTCCGCGTCATAGCAACACGCATTCCGCCACTGACCGGTAGTGGCTGTGCATAAAGTGCATCGTCTGGGAACCGAACCCCGGTCTCCCCTGTGGAAGGCGAGAATTCTACCACTGAACCACCAATGCCTCAAGCACTATTTATAGTAGCAAGATTGGAAACAGCCAGAATGTCCCTCAAGAACAGAAAGGATAAGTCAACTGTGGTGTCCTGGCATAATGGAATACCACCCCGCCGTGAGAGTCAGCCAGCCACAGCTACCCCCAACGACACGGATGCATTTCACGATAAAACCATGAGCGAAAGAAGCCTGCCACAAAAGCACACACACTACATGGTTCTCTGACATAAAGTTACAAGACGGACGCGGCTATCTGGAGGCTGGGAGAGTGTTTACTCTTGGTTGGAGGCGGGGATGGGCGGCAGAGTGCTGGCACTCCATTTCGTGATCTGGGTGCTGTTGCGCGGCTATGTTTGCCTCCTGGTAATTCACTGAGCTGGACACTTTGCGTTGTGAGCTTTTCCATGTGTATGTTTTACTTGGACCAACGTTTTACTTAAAACTTTTAAAGATAGTGGAGACGAAAAAGACAAACTAAATACGTAAAATGCAGTGAATGCTGTGGAGGAGAATACAGGAGGGAAGGAGACGGAGCGGCCAAGCAGGACGGTGGTCTGCGATTTTAAATGGAAGGGTTACCTAAGACCTCTTGGAGAAGATCAGGAGACGGAGCGGCCAAGCAGGATCTAGAAGAAAGTATCCAGAATGCAGCCCAGAGAGTTGACAAGCGGAAGAAATGAGAGAGGGACCAGAAAATCTGAAGGACGGAATGAGAAACCCCACGGAGAACAGAGGAGTTCCAGAAAGAGACGTGAGAGAGAAGGGCAAGGGGTAATTGTCACAGAGAAAATGGCTTGTAATTTTCCTGAACTGGCACCGAGTGACTCATTGGAATGATGAGTCAGCAGTGATTGTGACTGGGGTTTTCAGGTAGGAGCGTGGGGATACAAGTTGGTAATTTTCCTTTCCTCGTCCTGGAGAGGGTTCAAAAGCAACAGGGAGAAGGACAGTAACTCCGCTTTCGGAAAAACAAGGAGACAGATATAATCTGCAGACTCAAAGTACAACCGAGGACGGCCAAAAGCAACGGTGATGGCCAGAGATTCCTGAGGTGAAGTGCAGCTGCCTGGGGGGAGGCAGTCGCCAGGCAGCTGCTGGAAGCAGGACCTGTAGGGGCGGACTGCAGAAAGGGCCAGCAAAAACAGACCCCCTGAAGCTCAGGACACAGAGGCTGGAGTGTGTGCCAGCAGAACTCAGAAAAGAAGTAGAAGCAAAAACAAAAACATCATAGAAGGGAAGACAACACAAGGAGAAGCCCAGGGAAGGTTAGACCCTGCAGACCATGCCGTGAGGGCCATAAAGGACAGAAATAAGAAAAGTGACCGAAACGAAGTAGAAATAGAGTAAAAAAAGATCGGGGAGAAATTGACAGACATAGAAGAAAACCAAGGAGAATCATTAAACCCATAAGTGGAGCCCTTGAAGCAGAAAACTAAAATATTGGGACAGAATAAATATTTAAAAATATAATTAAGAAAACTCGCATATGGAAAGGATAGTCTTTTCCGTGGATGGTGCTAGAACCATTGGATATTCAAATGCAAATTAATTCAAGATCGATCATAGCGTTAAATATAAGAGTTAAAACTGTAAAAAATAGAACATCTTAGAAGAAAAAATAGAAAATCTTCATGACTTTGGGTTAGGCAAAGAGTTCTTAGACAGCACACTATAAGAAAAAAAATAACCTGGGCTTCATCCAAAACAAAAATGTTTGCAATTCAAAAGACACCATTAAGAAAATGAAAAGACAAGCCACCGACTATTTGCAAACCATGTATCTGATAAAGGATCTAAACCTAGAATATATAAAGAAGTTTTTCAACTCAGTAATAAGAAGATCAACAACCCAATTAAAAACTGGAAAAAGGATTTTAATAGACATTTCACCAAAGAAGATACATGAATGGCTGAAAATCACACGCAAAGACCATCAGCATCATTAGATATTAGGGAAATGTGCATTAAAACCGCAATACCACTACACACTCAGTATAATTCTAATAAATAAAAAAGACAGAACAACAAGTGTTGGCGAAGACGTGGAGAAACTGGAATCGCCATGTATTGCTGGGGGATGTAAAATGGAGCAGTCACTTTAGAAAAGTTTGGCAGTTTCTTAAAAAGCCATTCCACTCCTAAGTACCTACCCAAGAGAAATGAAATCCTATGTCCACACAAGGACTTCTACGCCAATGTTCCTAGAAGCTTTATTCATAATAGCCAAGGAGTGGAAACAACATCCACCGCCTGGTACATGGATTCACAAATGATGAATGGTACATCCATACAATGGAATACTATTTAGCAATAAGAAGGAATGAAGTTCTGATCCCTGCTACAACATGGATGAAGCTCAGAAGCATTATGCTAAATGAAAAAAGCCAGATGCAAAAGACCACATAGTGTTTGTGATTCCATTTATATGAAAAGCACCAAACCAAAAAAAAAAAAAAAACTGTTGCTGTTGAGTCGATTCCAACTCAAAGCAAAGGCCTATAGGACAGAGTAGAACTGGCCCACAGGGTTTCCAAAGCTGTGATCTTTCCAGAAGCAGACTGCCACATCTTTCTCCAGCAGAGTGGCTGGTGGGTTTGAACTCCTGACCTTTTGGTTAGCAGCTGAGCACTGAACCGCTGCGTCCCTAGGGCTCCTTTATGGAATGTATGGGAACGGTAAATATATAGAGACAGAAAGCAGAGTAGTGGTTGCGTGGGGCTGGGGGCAGGAATAGCAGGGACAAGGATAACTGCAAGCAAGGGCTCTCTTGGGATGGTGGAAATATTCTAAATGTGGACATGGTGATGGTTGCGCAAATATCATTGAGCTGTAAAAAACAGGTGAATTTTATGGTGTGTAAATTTCACGACTAAATAAATTACTCGCAAAATAACACTTGACTCTACATATTGAAAGAGCACACCATATGCCAGGGGAAATCAGCCCAGGAAGGTCAACACTGAGTCATATCCCAGTAAAGTTACTGGATCCTAAAGAATCACTGGGCAGCTGGACAAAAAGATCAAGACATTTATAGGGAAAAAATATCAGAAAAAGAGAAGACGTGAGCTATGAAACTTTCAGAACCCATAAACTTCTAGAAGAAAACATGGGAGATTATAAATTTGGAGTGGAAAAGACCTTTCCAAGTATGTCTTAAAATCCAGAAACCATAAAAGTAAAAGTTTGAGTACAAAAAAAAGTCTCCATGTGGTGGGGGTCAGGGGGTACCATAAAGCAAAATTATAAGACAAATAATTATAACTATAAAAGGGAAAATATTTACAACTCATATCACAAAGGCCTACCCTCCCTACTACGTGAAGGGATTCTAGAAATCCATAAGAAAATGACCAACATCCCAACAGAATAAAAGGGAAAATTATAGGAACAGACAGTTCACAGAAAAGGGAATACAGATAACTTTTAAACATATGAAAAGATGCCTAATCGCACTTATATGAGAGAAATATCAATTA